GCATTAGCTATGATCAGTTCTTATGTTAAAAAATAAATCTCAGGCTTCCCTGGTGGCGCAGTGGCTGGGAATCCTCCTGCCTATTCAGGGCACACGGGTTCGAGCCCTGGTCCGGGAAGATCCCACATGCCGCAGAGCAACTCAGCCCGTGTGCCACAACTACGGAGCCTGTGCTCTAGAGCCCGCGAGCCACAACTACTGAGCCTGTGTGCCACAACTACTGAAGCCTGTGCGCCTAGAGTCCGTGCTCCGCAACAACAGAAGCCACCGCAATGAGAAGCCTGCGCACCGCAACGAAGAGTAGCCCCTGCTTGCTGCGACTAGAGAAAGTGCTAGCCAGCAACGAAGACCCAACACAGCCAAAAATAAATAAAATAAATAAATTTTTAAAATTAATTAATTAATTAATAAATCTCTATCCCACCCCTCTAGGTCGTCACAAAGCATTGAGCTGATCTCCCTGTAGGGAGGGTGGGAGGGAGGCTCAACAGGGAGGGGATATGGGGTTATACGTATACATATAGCTGATTCACTTTGTTGTACAGCAGAAACTAACACAACATTGTAAAGCAATTATACTCCAATTAAAAAAATCTCAACACCACCTCCAAGAAAAATTCTTTCCATGACTCCTCTCTGCCTATGATAAAGGTTAACCCCCTCAGCTTAGTGGGAGAGGCACTGATCAGACCCTGCGACCCCCAGACTCTTTACTGACCACTGCTCCTCACGCTGCTACAATGGTCCGTCTTTGTGGTTCCCAAACACGCTGGGCTATTTCTAGCTTCTCTGCACGGACTGCCCTTCTCCATTTTCTTTATCTTGCTAAGGTTAACCTCAGGGTTACCGCCTTCTAGAAGCGAGTCCTGACATCCTATGCTGGGGCAGATGCCCCTCCTCTGTGCTTGGTACCCTATACCTACCACCAGCGTGGCAAACTCCCATTGTTTCGGGACTGAATCACCTACTGAGTCTTATCCCTGCCACTGGACCTGGCACATAGTGGGTGCTCAGAAAATGTTTATTAAGTGGACGAATAAATCAGAGACATTTTAGATCACTGAGAACAGAGAGGGTCAGTGTGGTGAAAGGAGGTTAAAAAGGTCACAGGAGGTCGGAGAGGTCGGGGTCAGAGATTACCCAGTTTGGGGTTCAGAAAGATCAGAGGGGAATCAGAGGGATCAGCATGATTAAACAGGTCAGGGGGTCAGGGAAATATGAGAAGTCAAAGGGGGAGGTTATTGAGGTCAGAAGGGGTCAGAGGAGATAAAGAGGATCAAGGACTCAGAGAAACCAAGGAGGTCGGAAAGGCCACTGACGATTTCAGAAAGGATGTCAGTGTCTCACCACCGGGCCAGGGTCCCAGGCCGAGGTGGAGCGTAGCTTTCGTGCCGGTGCAGCTGTACAAAGTCTCTGCCCGGGCCATGGGCCAGCTCAGTGATCTCCTGGGCCCACCACCGTGCCTGCCGGTAGCTGCTGCACTTGAGAATCAAGGACCTGGACGGGAACAATGGGTGGACCACAATCCTCACCCTCCACACCTCTGGCCTGGCCCAGAAACCTCCCCTTTAGCTATCACCTCTTTCCTACCTCTTCCCTTAGTCCCTACTTGACTTCACAGGGACAGGGAGTGTATCTGCCTTATTCACAGTTGGGTCCTTGGCGCTTGGTATCGTGTCAGCCACTTAAGTTTTTTTTTTGGGGGGTTTTTTTGGCCATGCTGCACTGCATGTGGGATCTTAGTTCCATGACCAGGGATCAAACCTGCTCCCCTTGCAGTGGAAGCATGGCATCTTAACCACTGGACCACCAGGGAAGTCCCTTAAGTTTGTTGAATGAATAAATGGATGAATGCAGTGCCCTAACTTTTGCACCAAAAGTCCTTCCCCCAGGCTTATACTCAACTCTCTTTCTCTGTGCCCAGCCTCTAAGAGCAGCCCCAAGCATCTGACTAGAACAGTTCTCTGGTTCCAAATCATGGCTGGCTCCAGGGAGGTGGGAACGCCTTCCTTTCTTCCATGGTCTCTTCCACTTAACTCCCCTTAGGGCCCCAGGCTGGCTCTTCACTCACCAGGTGTCTGTCCACACCAGGGAGGCCTTACCTGTGGGAGGTGTCGATCCGGACGCCGTACCGTGCCTCTGTGCTCCTTTTCCCCACCTGTACCTCGAAGCCAGGGTCGAAGAGCTGAACAAATGTGATGGTGCCGGTCTCGAGGCACATGTACAGCAAGAAGGAGTCCTTCACCACCAGCCACCTGGAGTGGAAGGGCTCTGACCATTCCTCCATGCCCCTGGCATCTCCTTCCTCACCCCCACCCACTGCCCAGCGGCTCTGCTCAGGCCTCACCGCTTGGACCAGCGATAACAAACTTGGTCTCGGCCACAGCAGGTGAGGCCAGGAACACGGTGGCCACCTGAGCGTTTCCGGATGACCCCCTCCCTGTGGGGAAAACCAGGAAGAGATGTTGGATGAGGCTGGATGAGGGATCCAGACCTCCAGCCCGCTGTGCACTGCTCTTTCCCTATTCTCAGCCAGGGAGAGATCCAGATGTTGGCAGATGGCGGGTGAGGGGTGTCAGACACTCACAGTCCTTTGGATCCAAGGTCTGGGATAAAGGACAGCTGACTGACTTCCAGAAACTCTGTCTGCAGAGGAAGAAAAAGGCCCAGAGGAGAGACTCTTATTTTCAGCCCCTCAGACTCTACCGACCCTGGTCCTCTGCCCCCTGCTCCATCTCAAGAGACCTGGCACCAGCCTCTTGACCTTACCATGGCATGGTAGTTGCGGTAGAAAGACATGGTCAGGAGGCGGTTGAGGTAATCCTCCAGGTATTTCTGAAGTAGGGATGGGAAAAAGGGAGAGACAGATGGGACCAGAACCATTTGCACCCAAACACCTTACCAGAGGACCTGGTGTCCGGTCCCACCTGTTTGCTGGATGCATGTCTGGCGGAGCCCTCAGGACCTGCCCGGGGTAGAGAGGGCATCTGTCTGTTGTTTGCCTCTTGGGCTGGAGAAGAAGCAACGGCAAAGCTGTGGAAGTGATGGGGGAGGGTCAATAGGAGGATGGGAGGATGGGTGCCTAGGTTCCTGAAGCACTGGAGGTGGGGTCTTGGAGGAAGCGAGGGGCTGGCAGAAGGAATGCCCCTTACCCTGAGGATGGAGACAGAAAAAGGTGGGAGGCTGCCAAGGGTACTTTGGGCATCCAGCCCTGCTGAGATACTGGCCCAGAACCATGGACAGGGAGAGCTGAGCAGGGAAGGTTTCCCGGTAACCGGGGTCAGAGGAGCAGGCCCAGTGGCCAGAGTTGGGGGAGGAAAGCAGCTGGGGGAGGAAAGGCTGTGGTCTGGGGATGAGACAGACGGAAAGCAGCAATGGGGGCTGGGGCAGTGACATCCCATGCTGCCCCGCGGTGAGGGGGCACCTGCCCTTCACAGGAGGCAGTCTTGTCCCCCTCACCGAGCCAGAGGGAGCAGACTCATCAAGACTTTGTGTCTCAGGAGGTCCCGATGCAATTCCTGGAAATGACGGAACTTCTTCTTGGTTGTCCAAGTAAAGTCACCGTGAGTCAAGCGGACAGAATACAGAGTGCAGGTGCCCACCTGGGGGAGTGAGGAACTGACTGAATGGATGTTCCCTGGTTGGGTGGCAGCCCCCACTCTGGCCAGCCCTCCCCTTAGCCCCCTCCCTAGTGCCAGCCCAGCCACCTTGGATCCACTGGTGTATCTTTCAGTGCCCACCACCTGGGCTATGACGGGAACCCCAGGGGCAAACACCAAGGGGTGAATTTTCAGAGGCTGGAGGTCGTAGATGGCCAGAAAGGGGTGCATCCGGTCAGCTGACAGGAGAGAAAGTGGAAGAATGTGGACTCCAGGAGGTCTCAGCCCCTTCCTCCTCCTCTCCCTGAGGGCGTCCTCCCTGTGTACCTGAGTCCTCTCCCTCCTTCAGAGTGTCCACCTCATCGGGCTCCATCTGTAACTGTCTGGAGTCCAGGTCACCCCCAGAGGGGAAGAGGCTCTCGGAGGTCGCCGCCATCCTAGGAATATGGGGAGGCCTCAGGAAGGTGACCTGCTTTGCAGAACCCTGCCCGCCATCGCACCCCACGGTCTTCCATCTCCCACAGGTCCCCCGCTACCCCCCACCTGGCTCCCGCTGACTCCCCGTCTCTCTGATTATGGCTCATCGGTCTGCAACGTCCTGCCAACCCGCCTCTAATCTCCATCCCCTATCTCGATCCTTCCTGCATCCAGAATGCCTGAGTCCCGCCTCCCGTCCCGTAACCAGGGTGCCGAGGAACACCCGGCCAGGCCCGGATGGCCCCGAAGTGGGGCAGAGCAGAAGCCAGGGGAGGGGCCCCGGGGGTTGCCAGGGGTCCCGAGCCACCGGGGCCCCAGCCAGGCCAAGCCAGCTGGAAGAAGGGGTCCAGGCGGGAATGAGGAAGTTATGCGTTCCCCGCCCGGGAGGGAAACCCCGAAATCTGAGCATGAGGCTGAGTCAGGAGGACCCGCAGCCCAAGCTCATTCCCGTCCCCGCCCGATTTCCTGGGCCCGGCACCTCCGCGGCGTCCCCTCCCCGGCCCCCTCACCCGGGCAGCCGAGCCGGAGGCAGCGCAGCAGAGTCAGAGCCGGAGCCCACAACCCAGAGGGCCAGGGCGGGGCGGGCGCTCAGGGCCTGCCCTTGGGGGCGGGACGGCCCCCGGCCTCACCTCCTCCGGATTCTCGTCGGTCCTGTCCCGCCCCCGCCGCCCTCGGCCTGTCCTTGCAGTCCTGCGTGCGGCCTGGGCGCTGGGGCCGCCCTCGGCTCTGCGGGACGGCGCTACCCTCCCCGTGCATCGGTGCGGCGCCGTCTGCCGGGCTGTCAGTCTGTCCCGCGCCGTCGGTCCGTGCAGGCCCGCTCCTCCCTGTGGGCCCTCGGCCCTGCGCACCCTCCTCCGCTCGGGCGCCGGCCCCCCCGGGGCCTCTCCGGCCACCGATCCCGCCAGGGCCCCTGGCGGGACGCGCCTCCGCGGCAGGGACCTGGCTGTGTCCCCTTCCCGGGCCGGCTGAGAACCGCATTGGCATTTGTAGATGGAAGGAATGACGGAAGGCCCGAGGGCTGGTGGCCACAAATTCATTAACGTACGCAAGCTTGCATTCTTTCATTCATTCACTACTTTCTGCGTACTTGCTCCGCGCCAGACTCTGAGCATACAGTAGTGAACAAAACTATCACGGGACTTGCTCTTCTGAAACTAACAGTCTAAGGGGAAACAGGAAAAATTTCAGGTTCTAATAGACAAAATATTTCATTTTTTTTTAAAGTAGATTTCTTTATCTCTTCTAGATGGAAGAGTGGGCTGATGGATATTTCTTCACGGACATTTGGGTTGTTTCTAGTTTTTGCCTGCTGCGAATAAAGCTCCTATAAACATTCCTGGGTAAGTCTTTGTGTAGCAATATGTTTTCGTTTCTCTTGGGTAAATAGCTAGGAGTGGAGTTGCTCCATCGTTTTAACTTTTTAAGAAACTAGCCAAACTTGTTTGATCTCTAATTGCACACATTTATATAGAGGCAGGGTGAAGAAAGTGACAAATAAAGGCTATTTTAAAATGGTCATTAAAAAGCACTTTTTAAACAATAGATCTTCATTGGAGTATAATTGCTTCACAATACTGTTAGTTTCTGTTGCACAACAAAGTGAATCAGCCACATGCATACACATGTCCCCATATCCCCTCCCTCTGGAGCCTCCCTCCCATTTTCCCTATCCCACCCCTCTAGGTCATGGCAAAGCACTGAGCCGATCTCCCTGTGCTCTGCTGCTTCCCACCAGCCAACTATTTTACATTCGGTAGTGTATATATGTCGATTCTACTCTCATTTCGCCCCAGCTTCACCCTCCCACCCCAAGTCCTCAAGTCCGTTCTCTATGTCTACCTCTTTATTCCTGCCCTGCAACTAGGTTCATCAGTGCCATTTTTTTTTTTTTAAGATTCCATATATATGCATTAGCATATGGTATTTGTTTTTCTCTTTCTGACTTACTTCACTCTGTATGACAGACACTAGGTCCATCCACCTCACTACAAATAACTCAATTTCTTTCCTTTTTTGGCTGAGTAATATTCCATTGTATATATGTGCCACATCTTCTTTATCCATTCATCTGTCAGTGGACATTTAGGTTGGTTCCATGCCCTGGCTATTGTAAATAGTGCTGCAATGAACATTGTGGTACATGTCTCTTCTTGAATTACGTTTTTCTCAGGGTATATGCCCAGTAGTGGGATTGCTGGGTCATATAGTAGTTCTAGTTTTAGTTTTTTAAGGAACCTCCATACTGTTTTCCATAGTGGTTGTATCAATTTACATTCCCACCAACAGTGCAGGAAGGTTTCCTTTTCACCACACCCTTTGCAGCATTTATTGTTTCTAGATTTTTTGATAATGACCGTTCTGACCGGTGTGAGGTGATACCTCATTGTAGTTTTGATTTACATTTCTCTAATAATTAGTGATGTTGAGCATCTTTTCATGTGCCTCTTGGCCACCTGTATGTCTTCTTTGGTGAAATGTCTATTTAGGTCTTCCGCCCATTTTTTAACTGGATTATTTGTTTTTTTGATATTGAGTCACATGAGCTGTTTGTATATTTTGGAGTTTAATCCTTTGTCTGTTGTTTCATTTGCAAATATTTTCTCCCATTCTGAGGGTCGTCTTTTTGTCTTGTTTATGGTTTCCTTTGCCGTCCAAAAGCTTTGAAGTTGAATTAAGTCCCATTTGTTTATTTTTGTTTTTATTTCCCTTACTCTAGGAGGTGGGTCAAAAAAGATCTTGCTGTGGTTTATGTCAAAGAGGGTTTTTCCTATGTTTTCCTCTAAGAGTTTTATAGTGTCTGGTCTTACATTTAAGTCTTTAATCCATTTGCAGTTTATTTTTGTGTATGGTGTTAGGTAGTGTTCTAATTTCATTCTTTTACATGTAGCTGTCCAGTTTTCCCAGAACCACTTATTGAAGAGGCTGTCTTTTGTCCATTGTATGTTCTTGCCTCCTTTGTCATAAATTAGGTGCCCACATGTGTGTAGGTTTATCTCTGGGTACTCTATCCTGTATCATTGGTCTATATTTCTGTTTTTGTGCCAGTACCATACTGTCTTGATTACTGTAGCTTTGTGGTATAGTTTGAAGTCAGGGAGCCTGATTCCTCCAACTCTGAAAAAGCACTTTTTAAATAAGTGAAATATTTTAAGATAGGGGGTAAAAGGAACTGCCAAACTGTTTTCCAAAATGGTTGTTGTGTTTTATATTTCCAAAATCTATGTATGATAATTCCATTTGTTCTGCAGCATGGCCAACGTTTGATATTGTCTATCTTTTTAGTGTTAGCCATGCTAATAAGTGTAAAATAGTACATCATCATAGTTTTATTTGCATTTCTCTGATGACTAATGATGTTGACCATGTTTCATGTGCTTATTGACCATTTTTATATCTCTTTTTAAGTGTTCAATTCTTTCACTAATTTTTTAAAAAACCATGTTATTTGTCTTATTATTGATTTGTAAGAGTTCTTTATATATTTTGGATACAAATCCTTCATCAGATATATGTATTGCAAAGATTTTCACCCAGAACGTGCCTTGTTTTTTTAAAATAATGGTGCCTTTTGGGAATTCCCTGTTGGTCCAGTAGGACTTGGCTCTTTCACTGCTGGGGCCCAGCCACTCAGCGTGGCCAAAATAAATAAATAAATAAAATGACGGTCCCTTTTGAAAAGCAGAGGTTTTTTATTTTGATTAATTTGTGGCCTGTAGACTATTACTCAGCAATAAAAATGAATAAAGTGTAAAATGGTACAGCCACCTCGGAAACAGTTTCAAAATGTTAAGTGTAGAGTTACCATGTGGCCCAGCAATTCCACTCCTAAGTATATGCCAAAAAGAACTGAAAATGTATGCCCTCACAAAAACTTGTACACGAATGTCCACAGTAGTATTATTCAAATAGTGAAAAAGTAGACACAAACCAAAATGTCCATCAAGTAATGAATAGATAAACAAAATGTGGTGTATCCCTACCATGGAATATTATTCAGCCATAAAAAGGAATGATGTACTGATACATGCTACAACAGGGATGGACCTTGAAACATTATGCTAAGCGAAAGAAGCCAGACACAAAGGATCACATATTATATGATTCCATTGCTATGAAATGTCCAGAATAAGTAAATCCAAAGAGACCATAGCTGGGACCAGTAGCTGGACCAGTAGCTGGGGAGAAGGACAGGGGAGTGACTGCTAATGGGTACAGGGTTTCTCTTGAGGGTGATGAGAAGGTTATAACATTAGCTGTGATCGTTGCACACCTCTGTGAATATAGTAAAAAACCACTGAATTGTAGACTTTAAAGGGTGAATTTTATGGTGCATGAATTATTTCTCAATAAAGTTGTTATTACAAAAAATACAAACTGTTAATACATACAACACGGGTGAATTTCAAAACCATTATGCTGAAAGAAGCGTACACAAAAGAGTAGTACTATATGATTCCATTAATGTAAAGTTCTGGAACAGAAAAACCAATCTATAGTGATGGAAATCAGATCAGTAGTTGCCTGTGGCAGGGAGTGGGGAAAAAGAGGGAGAGTAAAGGCCACACAGGGAACTTGGTGATGGAGATGTCCTATATCTTGATTCGGGTGGTGATTACATGGGTGTATGCACTTGTCAAAACTCATAGAACTGTACACTAAGATGTGTGCATTAAATTGTATGTAAATTTTTACTTCCATAAAGTTAATTTAAAAAACAGATTTTCCAATATAAAATAAAAATTAAATTTAAAAAGAAATAAAATAAAATAACAGATTTCAGTCAGGCAGCATAGTCAGCAGTGCTTTCCAACCTTTCCCACATCATGATACCCTTAGGGAATGATAATATAGCTCTTGGAGGGCATTTAGAGTCCTTGGTTAGCATACTGTGGACTTGAGGCTTCCAGCCCGGGCTCTGGCTGCCTTAAACCTGGCTGAGGGCAATACCTGTCAGGAACATGCTTGGGAAGCTCAGTGTGGCAGTTAACAGAGTGGACTCTGGGGTCAGACTGAAGAGGGTGAGGGAAAGTACTGCTCTTCTGATAACTGCTTGTGTGACCTTGGGCAAGCTACCTAATCTCCCAGTGCCTCTGATTCCTCATCTCTGAGATCAGCATAATAATAACACTTACTTTAAAAGATCATTGACGTTAAAAAGAAAAAGGGACTTCCCTGGTGGTCCAGTGGTTCAGACTCCCAATGCAGGGGGCATGGATTCAGTCCCTGGTCCGGGAACTAATACCCCACATGCTGCACGGCGTAGCCACACACACACACACACACACACAAATCATTGACACGATCAAGTGAGATAACGTAAAATTCCCTAGAATCTACCTGGCACAGCATAATTAATCAATTACAACTATTTTCATAAAAGGGGTCGAGAGCTACTGGACTATTTGAGAACATAACATTTCCCTAACTAGTAAAGTTTCTTGTTCTAAAAAAATAAACTATTCTTTAAATTTTTTACATCTTGGGCATTCTAAATACAAATGAATCTCATTCTAAAATATAAATGAGGGACTTCCCTGGTGGTCCAGTGGCTAAGACTCTGCGCTCCCAATGCAGAGGGCCCGGGTTCAATCCCTGGTCAGAGAACTAGATCCCACAGGTCGCAACTAAAAGATCCCGCACGCGGAAACGAAGATCCCACATGGCGCAACTAAGACCCAGCACAGCCAAATAAATAAATATTAACAAAAAATACAATAAAATACAAATGAATCCCCAGCAGGGTCCAGCCTGGCACCCTTGTCGTCTGGCATTGCTACGATGAATTTTCACTGCGTCTGTCTGTGCCGGCACTTGTGTGTCTGTCTCTACCATGCCTCCCCTCCTAGTCTCCTCCTGCTTCTCCATGGGGATCAGAGACGACCCCAAAATTAAGGGGGTACAAAAGGATAGGCGTTTGAGTGGGGGATCCCCCACCCCTTCCCTCCTCCCTCTTCTCCCCCTTCCATCTCCTGGCGCCTGTAATCACCAGGCGGTCTGAGGCTAAGTGGTAGTTTTGCCCACAGTGGAGGGGCTTGGAAACCACACCCCTCCTAGGGCGCTCCTGGCCATTGTCTGCATCCCAGTCTCGTCCATTATTGAGATGGATCTGAAGGGGGCATGGTGTTTCCCATGGTGTGGGTGCCGGAGACAGCGGGGGACTGAAAGAGGAGCAGGTACGGGGGAGACAGAGGAAAAGGTGGGCTGCCAGGCAGACAGACAAACTGCACTGGGGAGAAAGGTAAATGCTCAAATCAGGGAAGGGAAAAGAATAATCTGCCCCCTGGGCGGGAGGTGGATTTATCACTTCGCCAAAGGATTGGCTAAACACTTTGCAGGGCCCAGTGCGAAATGAAGTGGGACCCCCTTATTTAAAAAGTTATTAAGAATTTCAAGACAGTGACAGCAGAGCATTACACCAAGCATGGGGGCCCTTCTGAGTGTGGCCCCGTGTCCAGTGCATAGGTCACGGGCCAGGGAAGCCAGCCCTGCTGCCAACGTCCCCTCTCCTCTCCCTGCTGATGCTAGCGACACTCACCCCCTAGGTTCCCTGGCCTCTTTCCTCCTCCTGACACACAACTCCTTTCTTCCCCCTCCAATCTCCCTTTTAGGCCTGGATCCAGCTGCCCCCCCAGATCCAGATCCCAGCCCAGCTGTAGCCTCCATCGTGGCTGAGGGAGGGTCCCTTGGGTCTGGCGCCTACTTCAGCAGGAAAGCCCGTCTCTCCTTCCGCCACCAGCTGCATGACATAGCATCGGCCAACGACTCCACCATTTGAAGGGGACAACCAAGGGCTGAACTTCCAGGAGGCCTTGGCAACCTTCCTTCCCCCGCCTTCTCAGTCATCCCAGTGTCCAGCTCCCTCAGATCCCTCATGACCTTCTTATTAAATACACTGAGAATTGCCAAGTGCTGTGTGTATGTGCATGTTTTGGAGAGGAGATGGGGACCACGACACCAGGGCTGTTATGGGGCTGAGGTGGGAAGTGCAGCGTGAGGTGGGAGTGAGGACGCAGGATTGGGGAACAGGAGGCAGCTGATCTCATGCGGCGCCCAGGTGTGCCTAGCAGGAAGTAGGTTTGCTGAAATCAAGCTTCAGAGTTGAGTGTGGTGAGAGCAGTTTGGAGCGGGTGCGGGGTAGGCAGGACAGCAGATGGGGCTAGGGAGCGTATTCGTTCAATGACTATCAAATGTCCACTCCCTGCCAGGCATTGAAAATATATCAGTGAATCAAGCACAAGGAATTCTCTCTTCTCACTGAATCTGCTTTCTGGTAGGGGAGGCAGACAATAAATAAATAAGCATGGTAATAGGAGACAGCGGTAAGTACTGCTACGAAGAAAATTAAACAGGTAATGTGAGAGCAGGGTGGAGGAGGGTGGTGTTTCTTAAAATTCAAGTGGCCAGGAAAGGCCTTTCTGTTGAGGGATGGAGCGTTCTCAGGATTTTGGAGTACAAGGGAAAGAGGAATCAAAGATGCCTTGAGACAGGGAGGACCGGGAGAACAGGTTTTGCAGAAAATCAAAAGTTCCGCATTGGTTCTTTTGAGATACACATTTGGGGTGAGAGATCCTTCTTCACTTAATTCAGGACCTCACCAACTCCTTAGGAAGCCTCCTCTGTACCCCCCGAAATCCTCCAGGGTAGGATTATATTCTAGAACCAGGTTTTCAAATGTGGCTTCCACAGTTCCCTTATCCATAGACTGGAGAAATGTAGATTAGGGCAAGACTGTCGGTCACTGTCAATGAGCACTTAGCTGGAGTGGGGACCGTCTTGCAGGGCCAGAGCCAGCTCTGTTTCTCATCCGTGGGGCTGAAAGGTAACTTCCCATCACCTCCCCATGGGAATGGTGGCTTCTGGAGCCAACCCACAGCACTCCCAGTGGCCGCCCTCTCCCACTCAAGGTCAAACTTAAACTCCATGTGCACCAAGGTCCAACTTCCTCCCGAAAGCCAAAGAAGTCACACTGCTGCTTCTGACAAGATGAGGTGACAGAGGTGACTGTGAAGAGAGGGGACTGTGAACCTGGGTCGGACATGTGGAGTCCTTCTGACTTTAGGGCCAGTAGCCTCCCAGGAGGCAGGAGGCAGGCTGAGGGGAGGTGACTCCAGTCTCTCTCAGAATTCTGAGTTCCCCCTTAGGCTTAAACAGGGAGGGGGGTGGGTCATTTGTTGGGAGCCCCTACACCAACCACACTAGTGTCACAGAGACCTGGATATGGTAACGAAAGTGTGGGGCATGATGGCCTGGAGAAGGGTCCTCTCCAGCTCCCTCAGGGCAGTGGTTTATACAAACAGAAATGGGCCAGAGAAGTTCAGGCTTGAGGTTAAGAAAAGAACCCCAAAGCACACAGGTTCTCACTGACAAACTATTTATTGAATTTTGTCATCAGTATGGGATGTCTCTTGTTGTATCTTAGAATCCTAGGATTCAGGGATGTGGTAAAGTGGCAATGGTGAATTTGGGAATCTGGTCTCCCAAAAGTACCTGCCGCTCTACCCCTGATTCCGCAATGGCTGCCAGGCGGATCACTCCTCCGCTGGAGCCATCCCGCTCCATGGCCAAAGCGAGAGCTGTGGAGAAAAGAGGAAAGTTGGGATTGGAGTCAGATGCTGGGATCGTGGCAAGGAAAGAGGAATGCTGACCTGGCTCGAGTATGGGGGTTTATGCTCACAGACCCAGAAGCCGCAGTTCTCACCATTGGCAGTGAATTGCAGACATTCTTCCTTGGTCATGCCCTCCCGGTAGGTAGCATCGACATAGCCATAGATATAGGAACTCCCGGAGCCCCCGATGGCAAAGGACTGTCTTACCATCATACCCCCCATGGGTACCGAATACACCTGCCAGACGGAGGGAGGAGAAGAGTGTCACCATTTGTACCCTCCCCACAACACACATATGTTCGCCTGTCCACTGCGGAACTGGTATGTGAAAAGTTAATAGTAAGTGATGTAGAGACTGGAAAGAGAACTAGAAAATGCCTGCGGTGGGGAGAGAATGAAAGGCATGGTTCCAATGTTCTCGGGGTGGTGGTATCTGACCTGCCCCCCTTCTTGGGGGTCCCAGCCCGCAATGATGATTCCTGCCATCAGGTCTTCTCGGTATCGGTAACACATCTCCTTAAAGAGGCTGGCTGCCGTGTGTACCAGCGGAGGCTCATTCAGCTCGATGCTAGAGGGTGAAGGGAGTCATAGGGAAGGCAGTGTCAGGACCTGGAAGTCAGACTATTCCGCTCCTCAGGTCCCAACTCCTTTCAGATACTTACTCCCCCAATGCCCACAAGTACCTGTGGAAACCAAGCTGATAAGTGACTGCGTCAGCTACTGCCTGGGTATCAGCTGCTGAGCCTGAGCGGCAGCAAAAAATACGGTCGTGAATAGGGGTCAGCTTGTCAGTCACTCGATTGGCGATGTACGACCTGCAGGATAGCAGAATAGTGAGGGAAGGACCCCACCTGTCTCCCACTTGCATCTTTTACCATCCACTCCCTCAACAGGAATTCCAGTATTTCCTGTTAGTTCTCATCTAAACTGAAGCAGGCTGGAGAACAAACTTTTGCAAGAAGTTCACCAAAAGGTGAAGAGAACTACGAAGCAGTAGAAGCTGGAACAAATCCTTATCTCCCGGGAAGGACGAAACCTCACTTCCCACAGTAGTCTATGGAGGGTAAGGATGGGCTGGCAGGCAAGGAAGGAAGGAAGGGAAAGACGGGAAGAAGACCTTTCACGTATCTGTCCTGAGCTCACCCAGTGGTTGTTCTGGAGTCGGCTCCTAGAACCACGCCCCCTTCAAATTGCACGGCCATGATAGTGGTCTGGAGAAAGAGGAGAAAGGGGTGAGTCTGGGCCTCTCCATATTCTCCAGCATACACAAACCTTAATGATCCGTCTATCCAGTCCCTACAGTACAAGAAAAGTCGTGCGCCACCAACACATCGTCAAATCTCATGGGGTTCTCAATAACCCGCAGAATACCAGAAATTCAATCTTCAAGTTCCCAAAGGCCCACCCTGACCTTAAGCTTTCGTCCTACAAGATTCCAGAATTCCACGCTTCAGCCTACCTTCCACCTCCTCCCACACCACTCCTGCGTCCTTAGGATACCCCTCCCCTGCCTGACAGCATCACACAGACCACCTCTCTTCCCCGCCCCTCCAGTTCTCCCAACCCACTCCAGCCTTATCTTTCCATCGCTTCAATCCTTGTGCATATCTCGTGAACCCCGAGTCCTTCCTTACCCCTGTTGAGACTTCTCGGTTTTCCCAGTCGGGGGTAATGGCCTCAGGCCCCCAGGCTGGTGCTGGCCGCGCTCCCCGAGCAGCTACTAAGGTGGCCGCCATCTTCCTCCTCCGGTACGGCCACAAAGCAACTGTCGTAAAGCGCTCCGTCACCCTCTTTAGTCGTGCTCTGAGGCCTTCTGGGGGCGAAGCTGCGCCACGGTTGACGGCAGAAAGGAAAAGAAATGTGTAGTGAACCTTCTTTGCGACCGTGAGAGCTTGATGGCAGCGTGGGTGGCAAACAAAGAAACAAGAAACAAACAAAAAAACCCAAACAACAAACAGATCCAAACCGTCTGGAAAAACTACGTTCCTATCGGTGTACGCGGGACTGATCGGAGTTGCGATTCAAAGAGGCTTCAGGATAGACTTGAGCGTCTCCGATTTAGAATGACCGCACTATGTTTTCATTTCTCTTAGGTATATACTTAGGCGTATATACTAGGAGTGAAATTGTTAGGTCATTTAGTAAATTTTTGTTTAACATTTTAAGGAACTGACAGCTTTTCCACAGCAGCTGCCTCGTTTTACATCCTCACCAGCCATGAATGAGGATTCCGATTTCTCCACTTCCTAATTCTTGTGGTGCATTTTTAATTTTACCCATCCTAGTGGGTGTGAAGTGGTATCTTGTGGGGTTGTTGTTGTTGTTGTTTTTGCTTTTCCCTGTGATGAGTGACATTGAACATATTTTCATGCGCTGATTGACCATTTGTATATCTTCTTTTGAAAAATACCTATTTAAGTCCTTTGCCTGTTTTAAAATTGGGTTATCTTTTTATTGTTGAGTTATGCGGGTTTTTTTTTTCCCTTCACGAGCAAAGCATCAAACTTTTTCTTTTCTTTTTTTTTCTTTTGCCGCATCGCGCGGCTTGTGGGATCCTAGTTCCCCCACCAGGGACTAAACCCCGGGCCCCTGCAGTGAAAGCCCAGAATCCTAACCACTCGGTCACTAGGGAACTCCCAACATCAAACTTTTTAAAAAATTGAAGTATAGTTGATTTACAATATTGTGTTAGTTTCAGGTGTATAGCAAAGTGATTAAGATATATATATATATTTCCATTATAGGCTATTATAAGATATATGAGTATAGCTCCCTGTGCTATACAGTAAATCATTGTTGTTTATCTATTTTATGTATAGTAGTTTGCATCTGTTAATCCCATAATCCTAATTGTTCTTTTTATATTCTACATACTACACCTTTATCAGACATACAATTTGCAAATATTTTCTCCCATTCCATGGACTGTCTTCTCACTTTCTTTTCTTTTTTTTTAAAGTTAATTAATTTATTTATTTTCGGCTGCATTGGGTTTTCATTGCTGCGTATGGGCTTTTTCTTAGTTGCAGCTTAGTTGCTCCGCGACATGTGGGATCTTCCATGTGGGATCTTCCCAGACCAGGGCTCAAACCTGTGTCCCCTGCATTGGCAGGCAGATTCTTAATCACTGCGCCACCAGGGAAGTCCCAGATTTTGTATTTATTCTTGAGTCAGGTTTGGTAGTGTGTGTCTTTTTAGGAATTTGTCCATTTCATTTAGGTTATCTACTTTATTGGCCTACAGTTGTTTACAGTATTTCCTTATAATACTTTATATTTCTGTAAGATCGTTAGTTATGTTTCCTCTTTTTTTTTTTTTTGCAGGATCTCAGTTCCTGACCAGGGATTGAACCCGGGCCACAGAAGTGAAAGCCTGGAATCCTAACCACTAGGCCATCAGGGAACACCCGCTCTTTCTTTCTTCTTTTTTTTTTTTTTAATTAATTAATTTATTGGCTGTGTTGGGTCTTTGTTGCTGTGCGTGGGCTTTCTCTAGTTGTGGCGAGCGGGGGCTACTCTTCGTTGTGGTGTGCAGGCTTCTCATTGCAGCAGCTTTTGTTTGTTGCGGAGCACAGGCTCTAGACACTCAGGCTGCAGTAGTCGTGGCATGCAGGCTCAGTAGTTGTGGCTTGCAGGCTCTACAGCGCAGGCTCAGTAGTTGTGGCACTCAGGCCTAGTTGATCTGCGGCATGTGGGATCTTCCTGGACCAGGGCTCGAACCTGTGTCCCCTGCATTGGCTGGCGGATTCTTAACCACTGCGCTACCAGAGAAGTCCCTCATTTTTTTTTTTTAATACTCTTTTGTATTTTCTTCTATAAACTCTTTTTTTTTTTTTGGCTGCATTGGGTCTTCATTGCTGCGTGCGTGCTTTCTCTAGTTGTGGCGAGCAGGGGCTACTCTTCGTTGTGGTGTGCGGGCTTCTCATTGCGATGGCTTCTCTTGTTGTGGAGCACAGGCTCTAGGCACACAGACTTCAGTAGTGATAGCACACAGGCTCAGTAGTTGTGGCTCACAGGCTCTAGAGTGCAGGCTCAGTAGTTGTGGTGCATGGGCTTAGTTGCTCCACAGCAGCCCCTCTTTCATTTTTGATTTTAGTAATTTGAGTCTTCTCTCTCTTTTTCTTGGTCAGTCTAGCTAAATGTTCGTCAATCTTAGTGGTCTTTTCAAAGAGCCAACTTTTGTTTTAGTTGATTCTATTGTTTTTCTGTTTTCTATTTCATTTATTTACACCCTAATCTTTATTATTTCCTTCCTTCTGCTTTCTTTAGATTTAGTTTGCTCTCCTTTTTCTTTTCTTTTCTTTTTTCTTTTCAGCTGTGACACGTGGCTTGCAGGATCTTAGTTCCTCAAGCAAGGACTGAACCCAGGCCCCATGCAGTGGGAGTGGGGAGTCCTAACCACTGGACTGCCAGGGAATTCCCTGCTTTTCTTTTTCTAGTTTATTAAGGTAGAAGGTTAAGCTGTTGATTTGAGATCTTTCTTCATTTTTAATATAGGCATTCATAGCTACACATTTCCTTCTGAGCACTGCTTATGCTGTATCCCAAGTTTTGGTATGTTTTGTTTTCATTTTCACTAACCTCAAAATATTTTCCCTGTGATTTCTTCTTTGACCCAGTGGTTGGTTAGGAAAATTCACATACTTGTGAATTTTCTAAATTCCCTTTTGCTATTGATTTCTAATTTCACTCCAGTTTAGTTGGAGAATATTTTGTGACTTCAACCTTTTTAAATTAATTGAGACTTTTTTGTGGCCTACCCTATGGTCCATCCTGGAGAATGTTGCATGTGCGCTTGAGAAGAATGTGTATTTTGCTGTTACTGTGTGGAGTAGTCCTCCTATGAACCTGCCATACTATTTCTACATACTGCAGCTGGAGCTGGTGTTTTTTTTTTTTTTTTTAAGTATTTATTTATTTGCCACGTAGGGTCTTAGTTGTGTCACGCAGGATCTTTCGTTGTGGTGCGTGGTCTTCTCTCTAATTGTGGTGTGCAGGCTCCAGAATGCACGGATTCCAGAGCACAGGGGCTCATTAGTTGTGGCGGGTAGGCTCTGTAGTTGCAGCACGTGGGTTTAGTTGCCCCGCGGCATGTGGGATCTTAGTTCGCTGACCAGGGATTGAACCAGAGTCCCCTGCATTGCAAGATGGATTCTTAACCACTGGACCACCAGAGAATCCCTGGAGCTGGTGTTTTGAATTGAAAATATGATCCAGACAATCCCCCACTTAAAATTAACTCTCAAGATAAAGTCCTGTCTCTGTAACATAGTTTATAAGGCCCTTCATGTACTCACTCCTGCCCACCTGTCTGGAATCACATCTCTTATTTACTTCTAAATTTTTTATTGTAATAAAATATAAATAACATAAAATTTAGCATTTTAACCATTTTTGGTGTACAATTCAGTAGCATGAAGTACATTTACTTTGTTGTGCAATCCCCTCTTTTCTTTTTGACACTCTTGTCTCCAGCCATCTGAACTATTTTTAGTGCTCATACATTCATTCAACAAAAGCTGTTGAATGTCTACTGGGTGCCAGGCACAGTTTGAGGCACTGGAAGTACATCAGGGAACAAAGTAGACAGAAATTCCTAGCCCCATGGAACTTACATGTATTAAGGGAGACAAAAAAGTAAGTGCAATATACAGCATGTTAAATAGTGAATCATATTAAGAAGAAAAAGCAAAGAAGGGAGATAGGAAGATGTGTGTGTGTGTGTGTGTGTGTGTGTGTGTTGAAATTTTAGAAAGAATAAGCAGGGAAGGTCTCACTGGAGAGACATTTAAATAAAGACCAGAAGGAAGGAGGGAAGTCATTTGTATATTTTGGGGAAAAGCATTCTGGACAGAGGGAAGATCAAGTGCAAAGTCATGAGGCAGGATCATGCCTGACATATTCAATGAATATTGACGAGGTCAGTTTGGCTAGTGCAATCAGATCACATAGGGCCTTTGAGAAGCTTTTCATCATTCTCAACTGAAAATATGATCCAGAAAATTTCCTGCAATAGGAAGCCATTGGAAAGTTTTGAGCAGGGAAGTGACATGATATGCTTTATATTTTAAAGATCACTTTGGCTGCTCTATTGAAAATACACTGTAGGGACGCAAAGTATGGAAGAGAGAAACAATTAGGAGGCTATTGCAATAATCCAGGTGATAGATGAAGTTGACTTGACAAGGTTGGTAGCAGTGGAGATAGTGAGAAATAGATTCTGACTGCTTGGAGGTGGGTACGATGAAAGAGAAACCAAAGAGTCAGGATGACTGCAAGGATTTTGGCTTAAGGACTTGGAAGAATGGAATTGTCGTTTGCTGAGCTAGCGAGGACTGTGGAGTATTTTGGGAGGAGAGAATATTGGAAGCTCAGTTTTGGACTTGTTAAGTTTGCTATCTCTAGTTGAAATCCAAGTGGAGATGTGGAATAAGGAAGTGATATATAGTATTCTGGAGTCCAGGGGAAAGTGGGTTGGAGTTATAATTTGGGAATTATCAGTGTGTAACTTTACTATTGTGGGAGTGGAGTCATTTAATAAACATACATTACTGAGCTGAGCACCTGCTTGGTGTGAGGCAAGACGCACAGGTTTTAGCCTTGGGTAGTTGACAGGAAAGGGTGTCATTTATTGAGATAGGAAACACAAGAAGAGGTGCAGTTCTGGGAGGAGGTGACTGGATTCGTGTTGGATGTGTTGCATTTGTGGTGTCTGTGGAGGTGTCCGGGAAAGAGTTTGCTTTATGGGGGCTGCAGCTCAGGGGACAGGTCTGGTCTGGAGACTTGGCACGTAGTTGGCAACTGAAGCTGTAGGAGTGGTTGACATAGGCCAGGGGTAGCATGAGTCTCTCGGCGGCCGGAAACAGGGATGACACATCTTCCCACATCTATTTTTTCCTGTTTCCCTTAAGCGCCTGCTGTCATCACACAAAACGCCCTAAATCGACGGCTACCAAAGAATACTTTTTTTTAAATAAATTTATTTATTTATTTATTTATTTATTTTAGGCTGCGTTGGGTCTTCGTTGCTGTGCACGGGCTTTTCTCTACTTGCGGCGAGCAGGGGCTACTCTTCCTTGCCGTGCAGGCTTCTCACTGCGGTGGCTTCTCTTGTTGCCGAGCAAGGGCTCTAGGCCTGTGGGCTCACTAGTTGTGGTTCGCTGCTCTAGAGCACAGGCTCAGTAGTTGTGGCTCACGGGCTTAGTTGCTCCGCTGCATGTGGGATCTTTCGGACCAGGGCTCAAACCCGGGTCCCCTGCATTGGCAGGCGAATTTCAACCACTGCCACCAGGGAAGTCCCAAAGAATACTTTTTATTCCCCACAGCTCCTCCCTTCTCCCGGAGATTGCGGATAGAGGCAGGGTCTAAAAAACCCACCCCTATCAAGGTGAGCCTCCGGGGTGGTGACGTCACCAAGGAAGCGGGGTATATGGAGACCACGCCCCCGGCACCGGGAGGCGGGGCCAAGGGCTCAACCTGGAGCTGCACCGACCCCTCCCCAGGGCGCTTCCTTCCTCCGGCCAGTAGGCGTCAGGCCAGCTCGAGCAGGCAGCCGTCGGCCAACAAGCCCTGAGTACGGTTGTAGACGTCCTCTAGGGTCCCCGCGGCCTGGACCAGCGCGTTCCGCGCCTCCGCCTCTTTGGAACCCGGACACGCCAGCTCGAGCAAGCGGCCGCGACTCGGGAAGGCGAGGAATGCGAGGTGAGCGGCCTGACGGACGAACCAGGGGTGGTGCGGAGCCAGGGCCGTGCCGTAGGCGTCGCTGCACTGAGCGCCAGCGTCCGGGCCTCCGAGCATCCCGGTAGCCACCCGGTGGAGGCAGAGCTGGGACCAGCGTAGCGCACGGTGCAGCAAGAGCATCGTCATTGAGCCCGGGCACCCGGCCGAGAGTCGTGGGGCGATCCCGGGCCGCTCCCACGCCACCATGGTCGCCAGCGACGTGTAGTGCGCGGCCTCTGGGCCGTGCACCAGAGCCTCGAGGGCTGTCACTTTGGCGGAGGCCTCGCTTGTGGCGAAGGCGAAGATGGAGCCGAGGGGAATTAGGAACCTGTGTGTGATGGTGGGAAGGGTAGGAAGGTTTGAGAGAGGGCGATGGAGCCACAAAGAGGCGGGGACTGGATGGGGTTGGGGGAGAGACCACTCACCGGACTAGCTCCCTCCATCCTGCCAGGTACTGCGACAACTCCACATCCCTTTCCGGGTTCAGACTGGCGCGGAACGGCCTCATCATGCGGCCCAGCATCCCCTGAGGGCCCAGACACTGAGGCTCTTCCCGTTCCGGGGCCTCCAAGGGTCCCGACTGTTGCCGGACCTGGGGGTGAGATAGGAGGGGAACGGAGTGGGAGCAGAAGCCCTAGCTTGCTGGGTTCGCCAAGCAGCCCAGTTGGGCTCTGAAGAAAGTATTCCTAAAATCTAGATGGTGTCCCTCTTGCTGTATTCTCAGCTTCTGACGGGAGAAGGGAGAGGAGGAGGAGGGCCTGCCCTTCATCGGATCCTCAGCCTGGTGCACTTCCCCCTGCTCAGGGTCCTACCTGGACCTCCCAGTCCCAGCCCTTCCGGGAGCATACCTGGAAAGGAGGCGGTTCCCTGGCAATGCAGGACTGGGCCCCAGATCTGCAGCCTGAGAGGGCACCTGAGGGAAGTGAAACAGAACAACGAGGGCTTGAGGAGAGACCTTAGGTCTCAAGGGCCTGGATTCCCCGGTTCCTCCCAGAGCAGGTGAGGGAAGGGGTACTCACGGAGGCTCCGAGCCCAGAGATAAACAAGCAGTAGTGTGAAGACAGCAAGAGGAATCGCACTGCGCAAGCAGCGCCGAGGGACCGGCTGAGGCAGTGCGACCCGCATGGCTGCTGCAGGGACCACCGCCCCCTCACCAGCCCCTCGCCAGGCCTTGTCCCTTCGCCTCCAGGAGGGGAGAGAAGCCGCAGTGCCTGAGGCGCAAAGGGTTAATAATTAACCTACTAAGTCCCTCTCCCCTGTGCCCTTTGCCCCAGAGGGCAGCATCTGAGGAGAGAGGGAATCAATGAAGAGGATTTGGGGGATTCGGTAGCAGTGACACGTCGCTACATTTCCCTTCCCTGTAAAGGCCAGGTTGTAGTAAGAGGAAGGCTGGTTATTGTGAGGAGAGGCTGAGGTCAGAACCAGTTCCCCCACTGAGCAATGGTGGACCCTAAGTTGACTCTGGGCCTGAGTTCCCTCCACTGTACATTGAGGATAATATGTTGTTTTGCAGGCTTCATGTGAGGATTAACTGATATCGTATGTGCAAACACTGTAAATGGAAAAGCTTACTACAGCTGCTCCATAAATCTTACCTTTTAAGTTCAAGCCTGGGGCACCTGGGATTCAGAGAACACCCTCTTCTAAATTCTCTATCCTGTCCCCAGGGGACCTTATCTTATTATTATTTTTTATTTTATAAATTTATTTATTTTTTGGCGGCGTTGGGTCTTCGTTGCTGCGCGCGGGCTTTCTCTCGTTGCGGTGAGCCGGTGCTACTCTTTGTTGCGGTGCGCGGGCTTCTCATTGTGGTGGCTTCTCTTGTTGTGGAGCACGGGCTCTAGGCGCGCGGGCTACAGTAGTTGTGGCACGAGGGCTCAGCAGTTGTGGCTCGCGGGCTCTAGAGCGCAGGCTCAGTAGTTGTGGCGCACGGGCTTAGTTGCTCCGCGGCATGTGGGATCTTCCCGGACCAGGGCTCGAACCCGTGTCCCCTGCATTGGCAGGCGGATTCTCAACCACTGTGCCACCAGGGAAGCCCAGGGGACCTTATCTTAATCTGGATGCCTGAGGTCTCAATTATATAGTTTAGGCTGTCACCTTTTACATTTTTGTAGTTTACTTTTTTTAATCTCCAAATTGATTCCTCAATCATTCATCAAACCAACCTTTATTAACTACCTCCACATGCCAGGCCCTGTACTAGGCCCCATGAAGACAAATGTGCCTTCACAGAGCTCAGGGTCCATTGGAGAATTTATCATCTGTCTCCCCCACTGGAATGTGAGCTCTGATGAAGACAGGGGCCTTTTCTTGGTGGCTGCTCTATTTAGCATTTAGAATATTGCCTGGGCCCAAACACATTATTTCTAAATAAGTAATATTGAATAGACAAAGGAATGTGTTGTATGAAGGGCAGGCAAATCAGGGGTGGTACTCCCCACAACAATTTTTTGTTTTTAATTAGGAGTCCCCCTGGTGGTCACAGGGGGAAAAACATGGAGGGAAAGGCTACAGGAAGCGATGAAAGAAATAGCGTCGTCTCCTGTTCTCAGTTCCCTGTCCATAAACTTTTTAAAACTGTTCCTGTCTCTGTGTATATTTTCTTTTGAGGGGAAGGAATGTCCCAGATTCTCAAGGAGTCGGGGCCCCAATCACTCACAAGATGCTTCCCAGCTCCCACAGTTCATGGATTCTTGCCCTGTCTCACTTCGATGCTCCCTCACATCCTGGAGTTCCCTGGGGTCCCTGTCCAGTGGGATTCTGGAACCACCACTTCCATCCCTAGCCGTGGGTTCCCCATTTCCTAGTGCTGGAATGTTCCCTGGCTTGCTGACTGTGACCTTAGGCAAGTCGCTTGCAATTTCGCAGCCCTAGTTCCCTCACTGGCAGAATAGGAATGGTAATTCTCACCTCCTAAAATTGTTGTGTGGATTAAATAAAACATGCCAGCAAAACGCTAACCACGATTCGTGGCCTATAGTCTGTAAACGTTCGGTAGGTTGGTGGTTATTTAAACCCTCCTCCTCTGGCGCTGGGAGCGTCAGTCTCCCTGAGCTGAGAAACAAGTTTGTAGGCTTCCGGAACGGATTAGTTTTGAGTGTCACTTAATCCAGGTGGCCCTTCCGCAGTCGGAGCCCTCTTAGGGCAAAGGTGGTATACACCTGCACAAAGGGCCTGGGCTCACAGAGGCTGCGGGATGGAGCGGGGCGCGGGAGCCAAGCTGCTTCTGCTGCTGTGGGCGACGTGCTTCGGGCGTGCAAGAGCAGATGCGTCCAGCGGCTACACATTGGTCATCGAGGTGACCAACGGGGGGCCCTGGGGCGACTGGGCCTGGCCAGAGATGTGTCCTGACAGATTCTTCGCCAGCGGGTTCTCACTCAAGGTAGGGGCTCAGGCCTAGGTCTCGGTGGGGACCCCAAGCAGAGGATGGCAGTCTTCTGACTCATCCTCCGCCGCCCAGGTGGAGCCCCCCCAAGGCATTACTGGCGACGACACGGCTCTGAACGGAATCCGGCTGCACTGCGCGCGCGGGAATGCGGAGCTCAACACGCACGTGGTGGAGTCCCAGTCTGGAAGGTGGGGGGCAGGGGCCGAGCATCCCCTAGGGTCGGTGTATGCCCCTTACTCTCCATTACACGCATCCCCTACCGATAGGCAGGTTCCTCCAGCGCTGTGGGGAGGTTTAGACCTGGGAAGCGGGTGGGAGACTCCCAGCTCCGCACCTCGGTGGAGGTCAGGTGACTGGAGCACCTGACTGGGAAGCCCCGAGGCCTGGGTCCGGCTGGAGGTGGGTGAGGGCGCCCGCGGAGACCGCGCGTCTCTGCTTTCCTCGCAGGTGGGGCGCGTGGAGTGAGCCGCTGTGGTGTCCCGGCGGCGGCTTCCTGGTGGCTTTCTCGCTTCGCGTGGAGGCACCCGTGACCCCCGGGGACAACACGGCTGCGAACAACGTGCGCTTCCGCTGCTCCGACAGCACGGAGCTGCAGGGGCCCGGTCTGTCCTGGGGAGACTTTGGAAACTGGAGTGAGCCTTGCCCTAAAGGAGTGTGCGGCTTGCAGACCAAGATCGAGCGGCCTGGAGGCCTCCGCGATGACACCGCTGTTAATGACGCGCGCTTTTTCTGCTGCCGCAGTTGACACCATCGCCGCCCTCTCCCAGCCCAAGCCTAGTCCCACCTCCGCTATTAAAGCTTCTCTGTCTTGGCTTTGGTCTCTCTTGTTTTAGGGGTGGGAAACTGCGTAGCCCCATCTTCCTCCTAACCTAGCATTGGGCCAGGCCCAGTTAGGATTTGGTTTCAGGAGTCCATGGCAAGCTACTGAAAGTTACCGACCCATAGTTCAGAAAAGACACACTTAAACACAATTTTGCGTACAAGTTAAGGAAGTCCCTGCCTTTCTGTGAGCCTCTGCAGACACATCGTCCCCATTAAGAGACCAGGTTGTTTCCTTTCTGAACCACCAGTGACCCCAGATCAAGAAATTTCTACCAAATTAGGAGGTGACAATGCTATATCGTGTTAAGGTTTCATTTTCTAGAACTTAGGAGGCTAAGATGTCTTTTCCATAGTTTTCCTTCCCTGCTGCGCCAAAACTCAAACAGTGGCTTTCTGTATACTGAGTCCCATTGAGGGTCTTCGTCCTTGCTGCCCTCTCTGCCTGGAATCCCCCAACTGTCCAGATGGTTAGCCCATCCACCAGATTTCAGCTCCAATTTCTCTTTCTTGGACTTTATCTTATTAAAAAAGTCCATCCATCAGTCAATATCTATCCCACTACCTCCGTGTTTTTTTTTTCTCCGTGTTTTTAAAAAGTGCTTATCACCAATTAAAATAATCTATTGCCTCTTTTAAAAATTGCCCATCTTCTACCCCTGGAATGTTAAATTCTTTAAGAGCACAGAACTTGCCTGTCTTGTTTACACAGTATTTCCAGTGCACTAATAGTTCAATAACTATTTATTAAGGAAATAACAAGCGGGGTGCAAGGGTCCCAAACACGAGAGCCCCAAGCCACGGTGTATATGGAGACCTTCGGACACTCCTTGTAAAGGGCACAATCTGAGACGCGGAAGAGAGCTCTAAATAGTTTATTCCAGGGCGGGGGCGGGCCAGGCGGGTGTCCAGGAGCGACGGACCAGGTCCGTGGAGCCTCAGTGAGGGGCGCCCTGCGGAAAAAAAGTGAGGACTTAGTCATGTAGCAAATAGATTTCCTCGACAGCTCCATCCCACACAGTCCCACCTCCTTCTTCCGACAATCGCCGCAGAAGACACCAATGGACGCGTTCACCAGCTGCACCCCACACAGCAAAATCTCCAGGCACGAGGCGGCCACCAGCAGCGAGAAGAGTGTCACGTTCCAATAGACCACACGTGGCGGCTGCGCGCACGAGCTCCACTGAGTGCGGTTGAGCAGATAGGAGCCTCTGCGGGCGGGGCAGGGTCACGTGAGAGAAGGAGGTCACGAGGAGCGCGCCCCCCTCGGGGCTCCCCGCCCCGCGCAGGCGCCGAGGGGGATATGCAAAGGACTCGTTCGGCCCACGTGGAGGAAGCTGTCTCGAAGCCGAATCCCACCTAGGTTTCTCGGTCCACGTGGGAAAGGCAGGTGGGCAGTAGCAGAGAATGGGGGCAGGGGCGCGAATACAGGCTGAGCCTTACGCGGTGTGTTGGAAGTGGTAGTCCCAGGAGCCGTGCATTAAGCATAGCGGTCCAATTCGGAGCCCGGCTCCTGATACCGAGAGGCAGTAGATGGCACCAAGCATCCCGAACGCCGAGCAGAAGACCGATCGCAGCATCTGGATACAGAGTGCGAGGAGAGGTGAGTTGGGCCGTCCCCGCCCCACTCGTGGGCAAAGCGCGCCTAGCTCCCCCCGCCCCCCGCTTTGTTACCGAGCTCTAGCCAGTCTCGTTAAAAATACATTTCCCGTCAAACTCCAGGGCTTGGAGTTCGGCTAATTCTAAGAGCCACTGGCCGCGGAGGTTCATGGGGATTGTAGTTCCCTCCGGTCAGGCCCACTGAAGCCTAAGATGTGCGGGTGCGAGGGAGCGGTAAGATGGAGCCTAGGACTCTGCAGAGGACCTCGTGAAGCTGGGAATTCTGTGGAGGCGTTTAGGTGTGATTCAAAGACGTATGCTGAGTGCCGTCTTAATTTGCATCTTACCCTGCAGCGATTCCCACAGCAGCCTGCACCACAACAGCCTTTGCCCCCTGCCCGGACGGCGGAAATTCCTGGACACAGTACCTGTGGGATCAGAGTCGATGTGGTAGCGAGTCATCCAGGTCCCCAACTTGGATCAGCACTTACCCCGTATTGTGACGAGGTAAGCTTCCTGTGATGCCTTCAGCCATTTGGACTATAGGGAGATCTTATCTCTACTTCTCCTGGAGCACTGTGGGGCTCTGCTTTAAATTTATCTATATTTATGTGCCTACTTATCTCTGTCCAGATTGTAGCCTCCAGGAGGATAGGGCGCAATATCATTATATCCCCCATAAATCTCAGCATACAGTAGGTGCCCAACTGAATGGGAGTCAGGAGTCCTGGGTTTAATGCCAACCTTGTGCTCACTTCACACTCCGTGAATTGATTCATCTCTCTGGGTCTCAGTTTTGTCCTCTGTAAAATGGGCTGTTCTCAGGATTTAATGAAATAACAGGTTGCCTTGATGTCAAGACTTGCTCAGAGTAAATGGTCAATAACTATAGAGTCCCTCAGCGGCAGGAAGGAATAGTGGTGTTGGAATGCCTGGTGAACTGGGGTTATGATGGAGGGTGGAGGAGCATGTAAGACTCTGATGGGAAGAGTAGGAGTCCCCAAGATACAGCCTTGATCCTCTTTGTCTTTCTTTCTCCCGTGGCCCTCCTCAGAGAGCCCATCCCCTTCCAGGGCATCAGCTGCTTCCTCTAACAATTGTTGTCTCCTAAATTGATGCCTCCAAATTCAAATCTAACTGCCTGAAGGGTATGTTCGTTTGAATGTCTTGGTTTTAGCTTAAGTTCATCCAGCCTCATACTAATCTCACAATTTGTTCCCCCCAATTCATCTCCCTTTGGCTTTCTTGTTTCCATCAGTGGAAATATCCTGCAGGTCACCCCAGCCTAAAAACTTGAATCCTTCACACCTAGCCAGACCTCAAGTCTTTGGGAGTTTTCCTTCAATGGCTCTTGAATCTGTCAGTCCTTTTTTCTTCCCCACGGTCAATCCCCAATCACCTCCCATGAGAAGGATGTGCTCAGCCTCCCTACTAGATTTTTGTATCTCTTGCCCTGTGCCAACTCACATTCCATACTACATTGCTACCGCCAGATTAAACTTAGCTTTCAACTGGTCTTTTCCCGATCCAATCCTTTAGGGTCTCCTCAAAGAGTAGCCTATCAAGACTGAACTCCAGGAAGGCGTTCGAGGCGTCTCACTTTTGGCTCCAGCCTTAACTTTGTTGCACCAGACCAGGTTCTTTGCCTGTCTTCCCATCTCTGGAATTCCACAGCTCTCTGGATCTGTGCCTCCCTGTCTTCCTTGTCTGGCACACACCAACAGGGTGGCATTTTGATCTTCTCCAAAGGAGGGGCTGAGAGTTTTAGTTCCATTATATCATCCACAGCAACCTTACAGAAACACCTGCAGAGTTGAATGAACTTTCCACCAGACACTCTTCCCTCTTCCATGTCTCATGGCAGGTCTAGGGCCAATGCTGGCCCCCTTGCTTAGCCTTTCTGTTTACATCACTTACTCAGAAGCTCCTGGATCCAAAGACACCTGGAATTTGGATTTACCAATTTCAAACGACCTCTCTGTTTGTGTTTTTTTTAATATAAATTTATTTATTTATATTTGGCTGTGTTGGGTCTTTGTTCCTGCGCACAGGGTTTCTCTAGTTGCCACGAGTGGGGGCTACTCTTTGTTGAGATGCGCGGGCTTCTTACTGCGGTGGCTTCTCTTGTTGTGGAGCACGGGCTCTAGGCACGTGGGCTTCAGTACTTGCAGCACACGGGCTCAGTAGTTGTGGCTCACGGGCTCTAGAGCACAGGCTCAGTAGTTGTAGCGCACAGGGCTTAGTTGTTCTGCAGCATGTGGGATCTTCCCAGACCAGGGATCGAACCCTGCATTGTGTCCCCTGCATTGGCAGGCGGATTCTTAACCACTGTGCCACCAGCGAAACCCTGTTTGTGATTTTTAAAAGAATATTTACTGATTTATTTGGCTGCACCAGATCTTAGTTGCAGCATGCGGGATCTTTAGTTGCGGCATGTGGGATCTTAGTTCCCCGACCAGGGATGGAACCCGGGCCCCCTGCATTGGGAGCACGGAGTCTTAGCCACTGGACCACCAGGGAAGTCCTTGATCTTTACTTTTCTAGCCAAAGTGTTTCCTTTTGTTGTCTGAACTCGTCTGTCTTGCTCTCTGCTATCTCGTCTCATTGAAAAGAGAAGGGTAATTGAAAAGGCAGGAGGAAGCACTGAGTTTATAGCTCGAGTCTGTTTAATTTTCTCCATCTCCATGGCCACTGGCCTCATCTAAGCCACTATCATCTCCCCTGGACAACTGTAGTGACCTCAGTCTGGTCTTTCTGCACACAGTGCTGACCTCCTACTGTTTACTCACCACCCAGCAGCCAGCCATATCCAGCGGGATATGGAGCAACTAGAACTCTCATCCTTTGCTGGTGGGAATACAATTGGCATAAGTACTTCAGACAACTCTTTGGTAATATCTGTTAGCACTGAACATTTGCATACCTTAAGAATCAGCAGTTTTACTCCTAGGTATCTATCCAACAGAAATGCAAACGTACATTCACCTAAAGACATTTACAGGAATGTTTATAGAGCATTATTTAGAATAAACCCGAGTTGGGAACTATCCAAATGTCCATCAACAGTAGAATGTTTAAATAAATTGTAGTAATACTTACACAATGGAAATAATTGTGTAAATATTAGAAATAGTAAACTACAGCACTGTGTAACAATATGGATGAAACTTACAAACATAATGTTGACCTCGATAAACCAGAACAAAAGTGTCCACTCTGTATGATTCCATTTATATAAAGTGCTAACCAGACAAAACTAACCTCTGGGATAGAAGTCAGGATAGTGAGGCCCTTGTCGGTGTGGGGTAGGGCTTGGTGGGAGGCATGTCTGGGGTTCTTGTAATGACCCACATCTTGATCTGAGTGCCCAGAACATGGGTGTGTTCCTTTTATAAAAATTCACTGAGCTATATATTAAGGATCTGGGCATTTGTCTGTATGACTTTCTAAAAAGGTAAAAAGTCCTTCAATAGTTTTCTGTGCACTTATAATAAAATTCAAATTCCTCACTGTGCCTTTCAAGGGTGTAGGTGCTCTGGCCTCTGCCCTCCTCTGATTGGCAGCCTCTCTAGCCCTGAGATGTGCAGGCCTATTCCTGCCTTACACTTTGTAGTCACCTGTCTGTCATGCTGATTCCTTCTTTTTGTCTTTTGGGTCTCAGTTCAGAAGTCACCTCATCAAGGCCTTCCTTGAAAATGCTACCTTGCCTCAGGAGCTCTTTACACAGCATCCTGCTTTGTTTTCTTGATGGTCCCTACTTTTATCTGAGATCATCTCACTCGTCTGTTTACTTTGTTCATTCGCTATTAATCCAGTGCCTGTTGATCCAGGCCTAGGCGCCTGGCACACAGCAGCCAATGAAACAGGCAGCCCTTCCTCCTGTGGGGCATACATTTTTGCTTCCTTGATACTGTGTGTCTCTCCAGCAGAAACACCTGCTTCAGGGAGTGCAGGGCCCTCGCCTGTGTCCCTGTGGTATAGCAGTAACTGTGAATACACTTGAGAACCTTCTCCAGGGTGGCTGAGAGCATGGAGGCCGGAGGGAAGCTGGGAATGAGCATATTGGGGGGGCATCCTTGGGGGTCTCCCCAGAAGCAGGCAAGTAAGATCGTGGGGAGGTGGTGGTGGTTTGGGCTGGAGGAGGGGTGTGATGTGACAGCGGCGGAGAGGGTGGGGTTGGGAGGAGTGTGACGTCTCAGAGAGGGTTGAGGTCAGAGGTATGGCATGGAGCCCAACAGCCATAAATCCATGGGTGGGGGAAGTAGGAGGAAAGACCTGGATGGGTAAGAGGGGATTGTTGGGTAAAGGAGAAGAGGTGTCCCCATTAGCTAACAGACTTGTGGCCAGTGAAAGAGACAAAGGTGAGGCATCCCCCTGAGAATTTCATCAGTCAGCCATCCTGAGAAGTGGGGAACCGTGCCGGGTAGATCTTTTATCTTCATGCCATAAAGATGTTAAATCGCTTGACCTTCCAAAAAGTTCCCCTAGGGACTTCCCTGGCGGTCCAGCGGTTAAGCCAGTGGGCACGGTTTCAGTCCCTTGTGGGGGAACCAAGAACTTGCATGCCACGCGGTGCACAAACAAACAAAACAGCAAAAAAGTTCCCTGAGTGGGGAGGGGGGTGGCGAATGGGGGTTAGAAAGTCCAGGAAGTCTGTGTCTCCCCTTCCCCAACTTCTCCTGACAGATCCTAGTCTCCAGGAAGCCACGGGGACCCCTTCTCCACCATACTGACCCGAGTTCTGAGTTTGTCCTTAGTGCCCAGCGCACAGTGGGCATCCAGAAACCTGGGTGGAGAGTGAAGGGACATGGAAATGGGGGAAGTGACACCGAGTTGATAGGTAGAAAGACTGATGTGCGACATCGCTCCCTGGCTCCAGATACTGTAACTGTAAACCACACCCGCACCAAGCCCATTATTGTCTTAACCTGATAACCTCCCATGGAACCAGCTGTTCCTTCTGCCTCAACCCCTGTAATGAGGTGTTTCCAGCATCTGCTCAGCAGTGGGGATGGCGAGGGGCTGGTAGGACATACTCCCTACCCAGGAGGGAAGAGTTTCGAGCAGTAAGGCTCCTTCCTTCTCATCCCCCTCAGACATTCAGCTCAGGACCCTGGGGCTGAGAACCTCCCCTACAGAGTGCTCAGTGTTTGGGGGCAGCCTGGGCAGGCTCCGGTTCCCCCCCAAGCTACCGCCATCCCTTCCCGGGCAGCCATCCTTTTCCCTCACTCCCTCTCCCTCCTGTTCAGGACCCCGGAGAGTGGCACCCAGCCCCCTGGCCCGTGTGCCCTGGCCAGCCCTCTCACCATCAGGCCCCCGCCGATGAAGCCAGCCATGAGCCAGACTTGCAAGCTGAGGTGGTCCTTGGTCCAGGTGATCTCACCGTTGGGCACTAGCAGGAGGGCGTTGGCCACAATGCAGATCAGGGAGAGGGGGATGAGGGAGAGCCCCACGAAGCGGGCGCACTTTCCCGTGCACATGCTGAGGCTGTTGGAAAGGACAGGCAGCAATTGAAAGTGAGCCCGGGGTTCCCGGTCCAGAGGGAAAAACAAGCCCGGAGCAAAGGTCGAGGAGGAGGTGTGGTGAAGCTGGCAGTAGCTGATGATAAGGGACAGAGGCAGGAGACACGGGGCCGCAGCAGAGACGCAGGCAAATGGGGAGGATGTGGTGGAGGAGGTGGGGGAGCTTGACACACAGAGGACGTTGCCTGGGCTCAGTGTGTTTCCTCTTTTTCTGCACACACCTCTCCACAGAACCTCGGTCTGCTCCTTACCTGCTTTGTGACTTAGCCAAGCCCCTTAACGTCTCTGTCTCAGTTGCCTCATCTCTACAAAGGGTATACAGCCAAGGTATGCCCTCGGCTCGCGGGCAGGTGGTGAGGATTAAATGGGTTAGGGAGTTCCCTGGCGGTCCAGTGAATAGGACTCAGCACCCCTCACTGCCTGCGGCCTGGGTTCGATCCCTGGTTGGGGAACTAAGATCCTGCAAGCCGCGTGGGGTGGCCAAAAAGAAAAGAGTCAAGGTGAGGGTGAGAAACATTTTGTAACCGAGGACACACTAAGCCAGTGTATGATGCCCTATTAGTCCCATAGGGAGAGTTCCTCCTGGAAAGAAACTAAAGATGGTGGTGGAGGTTCATTATCCTTTTGTTTCTTCTTGTTAATGTCCGTTTATTGAACCATCTTCCAGTTGAGACCACCACTGAGGTCTCATTGATTAAAGCATCCATCCCCCTGGCCTCCATGTTTGATTCAGCAGTGGCCACGTGGTCCAAGCCAGTCCCATGGGAACCAACTTCTGGTTCTTGTTGGCAATCTGAGGTCAAAGAATTCCTGTTTTTGTTGTGCTGCTGCAGTTGCTGGTGGCATATCGTCACCTGCCTGCTGGAGAGTGAAGAAAATCCAGAGGAAAGACCAGTCAGGAGATGGAGAGAGACTAAGTCCCCCCCCGCGCCCCCCTCCCCCCACTTTTGGGATCTTAGTTCCCTTACCAGGAATTGAAGCTGGGCCCTTGGCAGTGGAAGCGCAGAGTCCTAACCACTGGACTGCTAAGGAATTCACAAGACTAAGCCTTGATGACATCATTTGAACGTGTAGATCCAGCTATGCCTGAAGCCTTATCAGTCCTTGGAAACTTTTGATTATGTGAACCAGTCTGAGTTGTGTTTCTGTCAACTGCAGGGTAAAGAGTCTTTTTTTGTTGTTTTTTTTAAACCTCCCTCTGTTTTGAGCTGCACACAACAGCATTTTTTTTTCACATCTTTATTGGAGTATAAATGCTTTACAATGTTGTGTTCGTTTCTGCTGTACAACAAAGTGAATCAGCTCTATGTATACATATATCCCCATTATCCCCATATCCCCTCCCTCCCACCCTCCCTATCCCACCCCTCTAGGTCATCACAAAGCATGGAGCTGATCTCCTTATGCTTCCCACTAGCCATCCATTTTACATTTGGTAGTGTATATATGTCAATGCTACTCTCACTTCATCCCAGCTTCCCCTTCCCCCACCCTGTGCCCTCAAGTCCGTTCTCTACATCTGCATCTTTTTTCCTGCCCTGCCACTAGGTTCATCAGTACCGCTTTGTAAAATTCCATATATATGCATTAGCATACGGTATTTGTTTTTCTCTTTCTGACTTACTTCACTCTGTATGACAGACTCTAGGTCCATCCACCTCACTACAAATAACTCAATTTCGTTCCTTTTTATGGCTGAGTAATATTCCATTGTGTATATGTGCCACATCTTCTTTATCCATTCATCTGTCGATGGACATTTAGGTTGCTTCAAAGTCCTAGTTATTGTAAATAGTGCTGCAATGAATATTGTGGTACATGTAGCTTTTTGAATTATGGTTTCTCAGGGTATATGCCCAGTAGTGGGATTGCTGGGTCATATAGTAGTTCTATTTTTAGTTTTTTAAGGAACCTTGATACTGTTCTCCATAGTGGCTGTATCAATTTACATTCCCACCAACAGTGCAGGAGGGTTCCCTTTCCTCCACACCCTTTCCAGCATTTATTGTTTCTAGATTTTTTGATGATGGCCATTCTGACCAGTGTGAGGTGATACCTCATTGTGGTTTTGATTTGCATTTCTCTAATGATTAGTGATGTTGACCATCTTTTCATATATTTGTTGCCCATATGTATGTCTTCTTTGGAGAAATGTCAATTTAGGTCTTCTGCCCATTTTTGGATTGGGTTGTTTGTTTTTGTGGTATCGAGCTACGTGAGCTGCTTGTATATTTTGGAGATTAATCCTTTGTCAGTTGCTTCATTTGAAAATATTTTCTCCCATTCTGAGGGTTCTCTTTTCGTCTTGTTTATGGTTTCCTTTGCTGTGCAGAAGCTTTTAAGTTTCATTAGGTCCCATTTGTTTATTTTTGTTTATTTTTGTTTTTATTTCCCTTACTCTAGGAGGCGGGTCAAAAAGGATCTTGCTGTGATTTATGTCATAGAGTCTTCTGCCTATGTTTTCGTCTAAGAGTTTTATAGTGTCTGCCCTGACATTTAGGTCTTTAATCCATTTTGAGTTTATTTTTGTGTATGGTGTTAGGGTGTGTTCTAATTTCATCCTTTTACACGTATCTGTCCATTTTTCCCAGCACCACCTATTGAAGAGGCTGTCTTTTCTCCATTGTATATTCTTGCCTCCTTTGTCAAAGATAAGGTGACCAGATGTGTGTGGGTTTATCTCTGGGCTTTCTATCCTGATCCATTGATGTATATTTCTGTTTTTGTGCCAGTACCATTGGTTTCATTCAACCAATGTTGAGTGAAACCAATGTATGAGTGAAATAAATGCTGATATTTGTAGGCCCCTAAGACTTCGTGGGATTTTTTTGTTCCACAGCAATAGCTGACTGACACAGACCCCATTATCTAAGCCACAGCTGATTGATCCAAGAAGGAGTAGCCAACCCAAAAGCAGACATGAAACCACAGACCTGTGTGGTTGCTTGAGGTAAGAACTCTGCCCAACAGAGAGAGGTACCCTTACTGAATGATGACTGATCAATGAATTGGATCTTCATTCTTGGGAAAGTTGACTGAAGACAACCTGAGAGTCATCAGAGGGAAGGATGGCCCTAACCTGAGAGTCATCAGAGGGAACTGAGAGAAGTATGAAAGCAGGGAGTGAGCAAAAGCCACAAGGCAACTGAATCCGTAAATAAGCAGAAGCCATAGGAAGAGAATTGTGTAGAGAACAGGTATTCAGAAACAGTGCAGGAGAAAGAAGCACAAGCCCTGGGGAGTAGAGGTGGGGAACCTGGGTCCGAGGTGAGGCAGAGGACGTGTGGTTCTGCTGAGTGGCCAGAAGTGACGTTGAACCACTAGAGCGGCTGTGATGCTCATGTCGCGGGTCTTCCCACTTAAGCCTGGAGCCGGGATTCAGCCGTTGTCCTGATGGACAGGGAGTAGGGCCAAGAGAAGCCGCATATTCACTACAAGTTCATCAGTCATGAGTCTGAGAGATGGTTCTGCTTTTCAGGGTAAATAAAGAGAAAAAAAGAAAAGTTGTGTGTGGGGGGTGGTGTGTATTCATTTCTATTACATTTTGTACAACTCCGTATGCACGGAATAATAATGTTAAAAACATTATAGGGATTCTGAAAAACTTTATCAAAACAAGAGAAAGGGCACATCGTCCTGAAGACTGAAAGAAAGAAACAGAACTCTTGAGAAATATTTACTGTAGGATTTGGAAGGAATTTTCAGGAAGGGTTTCACTAGAAGGAGGAGTAGAGTTCTTTAAGGAACGAAAGACTGAGATGAAAAGGCACCAGTGCGTGTTTGGGGAAGAAGGAGAATTGCATGGAAACTCAAAAAATGCACAAAGAGAGCTAAAGTCCACGTGAGAAGCACTAAAGAACAGAACTGAAAGTGGGGCAAAGCGGGAGAGGGTAACAGAGGACAAACTTGAATAAGATGCACAGGAAAAGGACCAAAAGATTAGAAAAAAAGGACCAGCGATTAAAACAGCACAAGGGAAGATAAGGAAACCAGCTGCTCCCAAAGATAAGAACAGAGCTGGTGGGAGTGATGTCACAGGTGACAAATCTGTACTGGGAGAAGGCTTCCCCAGGGCGCGGCTCCACTTGAGTTAGTGGGCTGGAGGGCGTACTGTATCCCAGGTGAAGTATTAAAAATGAACTGAAAAAAAAAAATGAACTGAACCCAGATCCATCCTGACTAAATATGTGAGTTAAAGAATACAACTCAGCAAAGTTAAAAGGCTTCCTAGAAAGGAACAAAGGTCGGTCTTGAGACATCTCTGTAACACTAAATGCCCAGAGGACAAAGGAGCAATGTCTGTAGTCATGACACAAGCTATGAGTCAGTTATTGTATGTGTATGCAAGTTTCCTCTTGCGTGTGAAGGGCAAGAGAACCGCATTTCTGAGAGAACTGCATTTCTGAGAATGTTTGGGTTTGGAAATACCACTATGTCTCCTTCTTCTCCTTTTTTTTTTTTTTTTAAGATATTTTAACTCACCAAGAGATGAAGTGAAATAAAAACTCCCAAAATGGGGAAATCTTGGTATGACTGTACATAATTTTTGTTTTGTTTTGTTTTTTTGGTACGCGGGCCTCTCACTGTTGTGGCCTCTCCCGTTGCGGAGCACAGGCTCCGGACGCGCAGGCTTAGCGGCCATGGCTCACGGGCCCAGCTGCTCCGCAGCATGTGGTATCCTCCCGGACCGGGGCACGAACCCGTGTCCCCTGCATCGGCAGACAGACTCTCAACTACTGCGCCACCAGGGAAGCCCCTGTAAATAATTTTTATAAACCCAGTTATGACACTGAATATGTTTCAAAAAATCCTTTTAAAGAGAAAATATATAGTGTAAATTCTAAAAATTATATTAACAAAAGTAAAGATGTCAATCATTTATTGCTGGCCATGACTAGAGTCCATTTTAAGGAAACATATCAGGACACAGAAACTCAACTCTACTGAAACAAAAAGAGCATTTATTGGTTCAGGTAATTAAAATGTCTAAAGGCAGAACCAACTTCTGTGCGTGATCCATGAAAGAAATAATTGATAAGCTGAACTTCATTGATTTTAATTAAAGAATTTTTACTAATTGTAATTTTTATTTTTTGACCACACCGCATGGCATGTGGGATCCTAGTTCCTTGACC